GCAAGCATGATGAATTTGCACGTCACTGCTACAGTGCGCTGGGGAACATGCATTAACAACTGCAATGATCTCACCAATGCGTATTGTGGGACCTGTGATTCGAGGCAAGGCGACAGCCGTCCTTGCTGCTTATGCTCCAGTGGTACCTACTTCCTCAGTAGCAGCCTGGGATGTGGTACAGCATGGTTCAATACTCTTGAATCAGAAGTGCCAGCTTCTACTGCACCTGGATCCGATAATCCTCAGGAAAGCTGGGCTCATGAATGTCAGTCTTTGAGCATGCTAGTTGGATTGAACTTTCCACCGCCCAGTTGCAGGCATAACTGTCCGGAAGAGGAACAGCACGTGGAGCCGCCCACGGGGCTCAAGTGTAACCTGCACACTGACGGTGCGGCCGTCTCTCTGGTCAGCGACGCCCGCGACCGGTGGACCGCCGCGCCGGTGAGCGCCGTCGGAGAGGTGTCCGTCTGCCCGGCCGACACCGTCGTCACCGGTCTGTTCGACACGTCCGGCCGGCTGGAGACCGTGGAGCTGCTGCTGTGCGCGCCGCTGGTCGACGGCATGCTGGTCTCCGACCGCTGCTACAACCTGCCCACGAAGCCGAACAGCGGGTGGGGAACCCAGACAGCTGAGGCCGAGGGTAGCTCCCAGTGTCAGCTGGTGGCCGGGGAGGCGTGGGCGGTGGTCGGCCTGGCCATCGATACGGACGGCACCAGCACCTGGGTGGGGGCGCTGCGCTGCTGCCGGATCGACGCTGCCTGAGGATGTTAGAAGACGGGCCTGCTGGAGCCGATGACGAGCCAGCTGGAGATGACGACGAGTCCGCTGCTGACGACGGTCCTGACATGATACTGATGACGACTCTTCATGCGTGCCGTAGTGCGTAGTGCTACTATATTTACCTTCAGAGTTTATCCTAAGTTTCCGACGATGGGACGAGACGTTTGTCGGGGTATTTGCCAAACAATACGAGCGGAAGGCACCACATTCGTCCTTCCATTCGAATCCATCTCTCCTAAGCCAATGTTATCATTAACCCTAGAACGCCTAGGGGGGGGGGGGGTTGTATCAACCCCCCCCCCCTGAGGTTTTTTCGAAGTGCACGCTAAACGGCTTGTCGTAGCGGGCTGAAATTTTCAATACCCTCTGGGGCAACCTTTGCGCATCTTTTGCCGAAAAAAAATTGATCGGGTCATGTCAGGTCACGGAGTTATGACGTCATAAGAGGTACAGCCTCCGGCCGGATTTTCACAAACTGAGTGCCAACGCCCGAGGTTTCCTGCCGGTATTACGGACATCGGTTGATGGATCGTGATGAAACTTCCCATGCATGTTGGGGCAAGTATTGGCTATCATATGGTATAAGAAATTTGACCGGGTCAGGTCAGGTCACGGAGCTATGACGTCACAAGAGGAACAGCGTCCGGTACTATTTTTGAAAAGCGCCCGAACCACTATTTTGCTAATTCTTGTCACCTCAATGGGAATATGCAGCAATATTAGCTTCTATAGGGAGCAAATGGACCTCCCAAATCCAAAAATACAATCAGATTTCAAAAATTTAAATTTTGATTTTTCGAATTTCTGCCGCCGACTGTGACCTTGCCGACTTCCGGCGCTCCCAACGCGCCATTTTTAGAGCTAGGGAAACGAAATACATACCAAACGATAGAGAATTGATCAAGAAACACGATAGTGAAGGTTTCAAGTCGATATCTCCCACCGTTTTTCCGCAATCGCCGCCGAAAGTTGAAAAAAGTCTATTTTTCCGAAAATTTGACCTTTGACCGGTCAAAAGTAGGTCAACTGTTGACCTAGGACCAAAAAATATACCACCAATCGCGAGATCTCGTTGAGAGCAATCCGTTGTTTTTTTCCGCTAAGCTCTACGACCTTCCGTTTCGAAACGCCAGGGGGGGGGGTCGTAACAACCCCCCCCCCCTGGTCGTTCGTGTTATGAGAAATGGCCTGGTCGTGCGAGGGTTAAGCGTCGACTTATCCTTTCTACTCTGGATGTTACAGCAATCCTACTAGCAGTAGGTAAAAGTAGGCAATACATTCGTTTTTTTTTTTTCATTCAAACCTTAAATTTTATAGCATCTTCTGTGTTATAGACGATGAAATGCCTAAAAACACAGACACCGAGACAGTCGCCACTCGCCTTCTTTTACGGCTCCCGTTCACCGGAAGGCGTTGCTTAATGCTTACTTTGTCTCACGCTTCGTCTTATGGGTGCATTCCTATTTTTTAAGCACTTTTCACTTATCTAAATGTTGAACTTAAGCATCCTAGAAGAGCTCTTACGCTTGTGTGAATTTCGTCATTTCTTCATGTTGTGCAAAGTTGCCGAAGCAATAAATCCGGCCGGTCCCGGGGTTCAGTGTCTACCCAGTAACGCGTCACCAAACAAATGTACCTACATACCATTGTACAATCACTTGATAATTATCTACGACTTACGTCTGAGATATTAACCTTCGCTCAGGTGAGGGGAAGGTGTTTTTGGCCACGCCTGCCAGTTTTTGCGTGTGTAAAGAGAACCGTGGCGTGGAGCGCCGGGAAACCTGGTACAGCTTATGATGCATCAATAATACCTTAGGCCTCCTAAGGTCACGTCACCATGTCAAGATAAGTGACCCAGACCATGCCTCTAAAAATTGTCATTCTGTCACGTCATTCCTACAGCTTGTCTCCTAGGAAGTGAAGATTGGAATATTGCATGAGGGAATCAGTACTAGCAATTTGTTCATCTCGGAATTTTGATATTGGTAACCTAAGGTCATGTCAATTTTGCGACCTCTATTAGAAGCCAACGGGAAATAGTTGAACTGCTCTTCCTTTGGACGAAACTGCTCTAAAACATCGGGATACAAGTAAACATAACACAATTAACCTTCGCCCCAGTGGGGGGGGCATATGTTACCACCCTGTCGCGTTTTTTGCGTGTGAATAAAAAACCGCGGCGCGTAGCGCCGCGCCTCTTGGGGTAGCTTTTGGTACATCAATTTTGGACAATGTGTGAAATTTTTTACCCCAGGTCATGTCAGGTCAGGTCACCAGGTCAAGCTAACTGACCAAGCCTAAAAAAGTTTGCAATCATGTCCAGCCTGCAGTGTTTGTCGGAAAGGTTTTGATCTTGGTGGATCGCATGATGTGATGGGCGCCTACAATTTGTATATCTCGGATTTTTTATATTCGTGACCTAAGGTCAGGTCAGCGGCGTGACCTTTCCATTACAAGTCAATGGAGAAAAATGAAAATGCCTCTAGATCCGTGTGTACGCATAGGAACATTCCAAATATTTCAGAATCACGATGATTTGGACCACTCGTGATGACCAAGGTGTCATTTTTGCTGATAGCCTCTAGAAAGGTCATCCGAGGTCATATGAGGCTACAAACAGATTTTTGCCAATAACTCGCGATTGGATAGAGATAGAACGCTGAGGATGGTCTCATTGTGTTTGTCTTGCCGAGACGCATCGATTGATATGCAACATGACCTTTTCCGGTCAGGTTGACCAACATGACCTTGACCTGAGGTCAAATTTTCAAGTTGACCTTTCAAGGTCAAATTATAGTTCATTCGACGCGTCTCGGCGAGAGGAACACGATTCTGGCAGTAGAAATGTCGTGGCTTTTTGTAGTCAAAAGTTATTGTCGAAAAACACTTTTCGAAAAAACAGTTATTTTTGGAGTTTTTGCCCTCTGGAGGCTAAACCGTTGACCTGAGGTCAATTTCGATTATGACCTTATCAAAAGAAGAGGTCAAAAGCTATCGATTGCATTTCCATGCGCTTTTCTAGCTACCATAGTTCCTGAGATAACGGCATGTTTTCTGAAAAATATAATGACCATCGGCAAATTTTGACCTTTGATGACCTCTGGTGACCCCAATATTGCTCTAAGATGAAAAATGACTGAATACTTTCAAACGTACGCATTGAGAGCTATCGACTGCTTTTTACTGCGTCTTTCTATCCCTCTTAGTTTTTGAGTTAGAGGTGGGTGGTAACATATGCCCCCCCCCCCCCCACTAGGGCGAAGTTGGCTGAGACCGCCACTGGGGCGCGGGTTAATCAGAAAATTACACCCATGCCTCTGTGGTCTTCTCAGAGTCAGGTCATGAAATATCTCTCACAGATTTTTGACAATGACTTGAGGTAGAAACATGTGAACGATGAAAGAACCTTGGATGCGCTCACGCAACGATACAAGTCTACCTATATGCAATATGACATTTTCCATGACCTTAAACTAAGGTCAAATTTCAAGCTAGACTTTTTCGGATTAACTTATAATTAATTCGACTCGTGTCAAAGAGAGAAACGTGATGCTGGTAAAATGAACATGATGCGAGCTTTGGTATTACAAGCTAACTATTTCAGAATAACGTGTTCTGCAAAGAAGTTAAATTTTGGGTTTTTGCCTCCTTTAGGCTAAATTGTTGACCCCAGATTTAATTTGTGGTACTCAGAAAGAGCAAAAACACTACTCAGAAAGAGCTTTAGCCTTTAAAAGAGCTATCCAATGCGTTTTTTCCGCGGCACTGTAGCTCTATTAAGTATCAAGTTTGCACCGATGTAGGTATGAAAAAATTGCAAAACTCGAGGAAAATTATTACTCTGAAGAATCTTATACCGATCTACCTAGTATCTATAGCTTTTATCCTCGTCTTTCTATCTTTCTTACTTTCGGTGTGGCCAAATAGGTACACCGCCTCACACACCGTGGCGAAGTTGGCTTAGACCCTCACCCGGGCGGGGGTTAAGAGTGTGTCGGGTAATAGGCCATTTCAGCTGACAGAATATATCATGATTCCTTATTCAATATGGACACACCCAACGGTCAGTTTGTTACGACCGACGGCCACCGCGACCACGCCCCCTGACAGTGCGTCACCACGCCCCTTGTCGGTGCGTCACGACGCCCCTGGTCGGTCCCTGCACGGGCGGCGGATCCCTCACTGAGCTCGCTCCGGCGCTGCGGCCGGGACGCGTCATGGGGTCCTCCGGGCTGCCGCTGCCGCTGCTGCTAATGCTGCTGCTAATGCTACTAATGCAGGTGCTGGTGAGCAGCGCGCTGGGCTGGCTGCCCGAGGGGGCGTTTGTGGTGCTGACCGCCAGCTGGACGTTTCGGAACGACACTCCTCCGGACGACGAGGTCATCTCCTCAGGGACGGAGCGCTCTGAATGTGAGTGAGGTGGGACTGGGCTACAGGGATCCTCTGAGGCACTGCGGTGATCGTGCTCACAAACGTATGGCGAGTGATCGTTGTTTAGAGACTTGATAGCGATGCAACCTTTATAAATATAATGGCCAATGCCCAGCTAAGAATAGGTATTGGCATTGAGAATCCGAAATCAAGTTGAATGTATACCAACCGAAACCATGCAAAAATACCAATATGAAAAATAAGACCCAAATCAAGCATAGATGAAGGAGAAGAGCCGACTGTATGCGAAATTCCAATTGAACTCAACAGTAAGCACCTTCCTCAAAATTCGTAGGTCAGAAATACCTACAACCAGCAAAGCAACAAACGGACAATTAGAAACGAAACAAGGAATTGCTTATGTTTGTACGAAAAACAAAGTGAACTTGAAATGCCAAAAACAAATCGAGATATCTGTTGAAACATCTCACCCGATTGACGGCTCTAGAATGTATGTATGTAAGTACATACCTATACACTGGCTGTAACTGCAGTGTATTTATACCTACAGCGCACGTGCATTTGCAGGCGGTGTTGCGCTTCCGTTCGTTCCCGAATGACCTAGAACACCCAGGCTAATGACATTCCGGAATACCTTGGGGACTAATGGCAAAGGACAAACAGACATGCACGCATGTCGCAAAAATACAAAACAAAACTAATTATCTATCGTTTCTCGAGACATGCGTAACCCATGGGAATAAATGTTGCGAATTTACTCGCGGGAATAATCATGACATTGTTATCATGTTACGGACTAAGGTTGTTGTCACTTGTTCCTGTTTGTTTGACCCTGGCCTCTGGAACGAATCCTGAAAGGGTTCTTCGTGAGAAAAAACACCGTCATAGGTACCTATGTCTCGTTTTACATTACAGTTGATAACTATACCTATCCGTTTGTGACCAATTAAAAGATCGTCATCAATTTTGGGTGCAGCTAGTGTTTGGAAATGGTGCAAAGTGGACTGATCTTTTTATATTCTGTCTCCATGTATTTTTATTTGTATGCCTTCTAACGAATACTTAGCGTAAATGAAGTTACGAAGCGTGTGTCAACTACAAAGTAGGTACTTAACCGTGCCTTTCTTTTCATTCACATATCACAGCCACGCCGAATAAATATTGGAATTGCTTTATATAAATTACACCAATGCGATATCACCAATGCTCGCCGTGGCCGACACCACATTTACCGTCCGCAGGCGACTGCATGACCGAATGTCTGGTCAGGGACGACTGCCTGAGCTTCAGTTTCGGCGACGGCAGCTGCACTCTGTTCAACAGGAGGGGAAACGTCAACAGCAGCAGACTGATGAACGGCACGGTGCCGTGGGTTCGCTACAGGAGAGACATGGGTGAGCTCTGGGTCCGTGAGTTCTAGGTCCGCTACAGGAGAGACATGGGTGAGCTCTGGTTCCACCGCAGGGGAGACATGGGTGAGCTCTGGGTTCGCAATAGGAGAGACATGGGTGAGCTCTGGGACTGGGTCCACCTCAGGGGAGACATGGATGAGCTCTGGGTCCGTGAGCTCTGGGTCCGTGAGCTCTGGGTTCACTGTAGGAGAGACATGGATGAGCTCTGGGTCCGCCTGAGGGGAGACATGGGTAGGCTCCATGGGTTCTGAGGGAGACATGGGTAAGCTCTGTAGCGCGGGAGGCTGATAGGAAAGTGGGAAAAGTGGTAAAGTGAAGTGGCCGGCGGTGCAGCTGGGACAGACGCTCCGTTCCAGCTCGTTACCCCGTCATGGGATGACGCTGATGAAGGTATTGATGAGAGCGAAGAAGGCAGCTGCCAACAACCAGCGATGACTCTGACGAAGGCGTATCATATGAAGCCTATGCATGACAAGGAGGTCGTTCCCCAGCTCGGCCGACGCCAGGTAGATTCGAAGCAGCGAAGCAGGGAAGCAGGGTCGTCCACCAGTTCGGGACGACGTCTTGTAGTTGCCTCCACCAGCGCAACCAACTGGGTATTGCGGAAGAAGCAGCAGCGAAGCGGGGTTGTCCACCAGTGCGACCGATCGGGCTCAACTGGCGCCGAAGTAATGAAGCAGGCCATTCACCAGGTCGACCAACCAGGTATAGCAGAAGAAGCAGCGCAGTTGGGTCGTCTACCAGCTCGGGACGATGTTGTAGATGAAGTAGCGGCGCAGCAGGGTCGTCCACCAGCGTGACCGACCGGATAAAGCAGAAGAAGCAGGGTCGTCCACCAGCTCGAACAGCAGAAGCAGCAACAGCGAAGCAGTGAAGCAAGGCGTTCACCAGCTCGAACGGTCGTGCCGTAGCTAACGGTCACCTCGGGTGACTGCGCTGCAGAGGGCGACGGGCCAGTAGCGGGCTCGGCAGAGGTCAGCTCCGACGATGTAGGCGAGGCAGCCAGCCTCCAGCAGGAACCGACGGCCACTGGGTCGGGCCATGCAGCAGAAGTCGTTCAGCGCAGCGGCTGGCTCGTGCAGAAACGTGGGGTGGGTGGTGGGTGTGGGTTAGCATTGCGGCCTTAGGGTTGGGTCGGGGACAGCCGCTTCAATTACTTTACATAAGGTAGGACTAGGATAAATAACACGATCTTTGCCGGGGGATTGGGAAGGAACGAATAGCTTTGAGGATGTGTAGGAGTTCTTTGAGAAGGATCCATACTGCCATCTCATTCTATTCCTCTATCTAACTTGGGACGGATTATAGCCAGGTGGGATATATGCTTTCAAGGAAGACGGCCACAGGCATGGGAAAGGATCTTGTCCGGGCTCGGAGGGATCAGGATACTTGCAGTAGTCGTAGTTGACACGAGGGAAATATTGACTGAGTAAAAGGGAATGTGGCATTTGACAGTTCCGGACCAGAGTACGGAACCGGACCATTTGGGGTAAGGCCCGCAACCCCCGTCAGACAATTCCTTGCTCAACAAGGTTCTTGAATAGACGATTTACTTGGTTTTCCGTGACTGCCCATAACATTTAAATTCCTTTTTCTTCCTTCATCTACTTCACATCTCCTTCCCTTTACATAGTGACCATCAATTCTTCAACCTGTCTTTTGATCTCTTCAATATCCCGGCGCACCGCTTCCTCCGTTGTTCGCAGCTCCTGCAGCCTGTCATGGTCACTCTTCTTCGCTACATTCATCCGTTCAAGTTTCTCCGTTAACCGCTCGATCCTGCTCCCCACATCGTTCTTCCCGTTCCCACGTGTGATGACGCTGGTACGGTTTGCTCCCTTTGTCCACGCTCCCCGCCTTCCAAAGTGATTTAACCTATCTCCTATAGGAATTCCTGCAGTATCTACTGTCTCGCCATTTACTTCCGTCCTAAAAACTTTCCCCAAAACATGAATATTGAATAATAGAGAAAATGGCATTTCTCTTACTTTACATCCCAAACCCTTGCACTTATCAAAGAAGCTTAACTGGTCGGGTTAGGGAGGATGACGTCAAGTCCTCGTTGTACATCAAACCAACCATTCCTAGAGACAGCACCCTGTTCCTTTTCCGATCCTGCCTGCTCTAAAACTTTTCCAACGCTTAAAACTATCAAAATTGAAGCTGATAATTTTGCATGTGTGATGATCGTTATCCGGTTTTCCATGGTCGTTGAAGTCCTCCGTTGTCTCCCTCAAATGCGTGCTCGTTCAAAAGCTTGACTTCTCTGCCCATCTGAATTTCTCGATTCTGCTGCCCTCCTAACTTTCTGACAAATTGCTCCTCTGGCAAATTTGGTTCAATACTGCTGCTCTTCGCACGGGTAATCCTTTCAACAACAGGTAGGTTAAGTTTCCTTGAACAACCTCTTCTCGCCATTTAGGTCTCAAACATCTTATGAAATGGCAGGCTCAACCAATTTCTTCAGGAGAACCCCGGGACCCCGGCCAACGACAATTAAAGGGAACGGACGGGGAAGAATAGATGGCGGCTGGGTGCCCCAACCCAAAATATTCCCTTCCAATGCTTAGTGCCAACCAAATACCTCTTTACTCCCAACATAATTACTCCTACGTCAAATCCTTCTACAATAACATAGAACAACGAGTTCTGCTTGCAAAACGAATACTACTTATGCCCACGGCACACGTGAGAGGGGTACGTCCTAATTCACCTAACCATCCTCCCTACCCACTTTACATATAACTTCCTATTTTCTACGGGTCCGTGCGACTTGCGCCAATCTACCAACTAAGACAATGACCAGAAAGCCCAAAGCCCCACGTTGGGCGCCAAATATTGTAGCGCGGGAGGCTGATAGGAAAGTGGGAAAAGTGGTAAAGTGAAGTTTTAGTGTGAAATTATAGTTAGGTAGAAATGAAGAATACCGCCACCCTTTCGTCAATACTCCCTCGATAGACGGTCAAAGAAGAAAATGAGAAGAAATAATAGAGGAAGAACAAAGATAGAGAAAAGATAGAAAGTGGTGAAAGTCCTCCCTTGCAGACAATATTGCATCGGGTGATAGTCGATGCTTTATGTTATTTGAGGCTGGTCATTCTGGTACATTGAATCGGCTTTGCGAGGTTGAATGATATATTAGTGCTTAAATTCCTTATGCCCTCAAGTGTCATTTCATACGATCATTCCGGCTGAGTTCAGCACAACTCCTACTGGTCCTTACTCTAAGATTCATCCGTCTCCATTCACCTTTCCCCTTTCACGTCTTACATGCTACTATTCGTTTGTGCTGCCCCAAAAATTCCCATCCAGTAGTGCCGGTGACCAGATGAACGATTGACCCCCAGGCGGGATAAATGTCCATTAAATTGCCTACACTTGCGCTAACAGGGTCTTAACCCTCGCCCGCACATGGGGGGGGTGGTTGCCACCCCCCCCCCAGGCAGTCTTTCTGCTCTGCACTCAACATTTTTGAAGCTAGAAGGCTGATTTTTCGTATAGCTGCTTGTCTATCCTTTCTTGATATCCACTGAAAATTTCAAGTTGCTGTGACTTTTGGTTTCGGAGATATGACCTTGTTTTTCAGGTCATGTCATGACCCAAATGGCCAATTCTCAACATCTTGCGTTTGCCATGGGCCTTGTGAGCTTTTGACACCCTGATTTCGGCCTTTTTTGCCAGTCTTACCTCCCACCTATCATGGAACATGTTGTTCGACGATGTACAGGGGTCAAGGTCAGGGTCAAGGTCAACCTAGGTCATCTAAGATAATTGCGTTTTAGGCAAGCTGAATTTACTTTTTGTGAAGTTTTTTGACTGCATTTTTTGTAAAAGCTTCTCAGATCATGATTTCATGTGATATGGACCCAAAAACAATCGGTGCACACATCAGTATACACACAGACACACACAGACATACAAACACATATAATTGACCTTGACCTAACTTGACCTGAAATGACCTCAGCAGCAAAATTCTGGTCGGATAGTGTGACAAAGAGGTTCTAGCTGGCTAGGCACCAGAAAACAGCATCGTCATCGGTATTTGATAAGCAGCGCACTTGATATCCAACGGTGACCCAAAACAGCAACATTTTTTAGTTTGACCTGACCTGGAAGGTCAATGACTGACCTGAGAAGGTAAAACTGGGTATCATTGGATTCGTCTCTTCCCAAAGAATCTTTTTGGTCTTTACTGCTAAGCTCTATCTCCAACAGGAACGAAATGGCGCGGGGGGGGGGGGGTGGCAACCCCCCCCCCCCCATGTGCGTTCTAGGATGGGAAAATGGCATGTGCGGGCGAGGGTTAAGTGTCGTCTTCTGTCTGCTATCCGCCATATAACAAAGAAGCTAAGTAAAACTCACCGGAGGCTACCATGCTGTCCCATCCCGGGCCTGCCTCAATTTAGGGCCCGTCGGCCTGCCGAGTTACCATTAACACCGCAGCACACGCTGCACCGACACCACGTCACTCGACGTCACTACATCTCGGCCTAACTTTTACGGGGGAGCCCGTCGACTCCGAGGACTTATCGATGCCTATCCCACCGACTAGGACTTATCAGGCCTCACTAACTTTTACAGGGGCTCAACTACCTTGACCACCAAAATTATCCGAACGACCTACATACCTCTCAATACTTCGTTTGCTTACCCTGCAACTCCAACTCAATCCACCTTCCACCTACTGACAAACCTACCGACGTCACTACCTCACGACACTACGCTACGGCCCCTACTCTCGGTCGAAATAAGACGTGCAGACATTGTTGACACCGCCCTGACAATACAGACCTCTCGCTGTACGCACTCAACTGTACAAAAGCCATGTTGGTAGAAATATCGACATAGAAGCCGGGCACACAAGCCGTCTAGCCTCGAAGAAAAAAACAATTGCCCGTACGATAATTAAAAAAAAAGGAAACTTCCCGCCTCAACCTACTCTCGACTCCCTTACATTTCCCGAGGAATTCCTACCCATCTCATCAACAACACATCGCCTCGGACTACCTGCCCTATTCCTACTTCGCACTCGTATCCCTTTCCTTACGTCCACTGTATGATCGTAATAGCATAAAACAACGGTTTAACTGAATAATCATTTCCCGACAAGGCTAACATCCTACTTTAACCCTGCTCAAAGCAACACCTGGCGCTCTTAAACCGTTCACGGAAATTACTTCGTAAAATTATATCCTCAATTATCTCATTCTAAACAACTAACGTTCTTAGCTGACAAAATACGGCTCGGTCAAGGCGAGCACTCACAAGTTTAGCTGCTCGTTATCATTCCTATCTTGATCTTACTGAACCCATTCTTTCCTTATTCAACGGAAATCAACGACTATTAGTGGGAAGACTGATGGATAATATATTTAGTACCGGGGGTCTAGATTGGGGCTCTCTTTCGGACAGGGTACGGCGAGAACTGATCACCAGTAACTCACCGGGGCTAGGTTGGACGTATGGACGGGTTACGACAAGAACTGATCACCAGTAACTCGTCGGGGCGTAGGATGAGCGAATGGACGGGGTGCGACAAGAACTGATCACCAGTAACTCGTCGGGGCGTAGGATGAGCGAATGGACGGGGCACGACAAGAACTGATCACCAGTAACTCGTCGGGGCTTAGGATGAGCGTTTGGACGGGGTACGACAAGAACTGATCACCAGTAACTCGTCGGGGCTTAGGATGAGCGAATGGACGGGGTGCGACAAGAACTGATCACCAGTAACTCGTCGGGGCTTGGGATGAGTGCTTGGACGGGGTACGACAAGAACTGATCACCAGTAACTCGTCGGGGCTTAGGATGAGCGAATGGACGGGGTACGACAAGAACTGATCACCAGTAACTCGTCGGGGCGTAGGATGAGCGTTTGGACGGGTTACGACGAGAACTGATCACCAGTAACTCGTCGGGGCTTTAGGATGGGCGTATGAAGGAATGCAGGGCATATTTTAGTCGTTGATCCCATAAACAAACGAACGGATGTACATCCTAATATCTTTAATCCTACTTCCCGAATCCTATCCTGATATCTATGTACTTACACAACCTTCGGAGAATTTACAGAAAACCTTCTACTGATTTCGGAACACCGTAGCATTACAATGAAAGAAAATCACTCACCTTTCTGGAACTTCTCCGGGCCAGCTCCTCAGCCTCCGACCAGTGCGCGGATGAGTCAGTGCTCGCAGCTACCGTCTTTCTCTGCTGCCGCCCATAATTCTCTCTTGTCCCGATCGTCCCGATTTACCCTCGTGTTCTCCCTCTCTTTCCGACCCTTCATTTTGTACTGATAACTTCCTACCCTTTCCCGAAAATTTCCCTCAAGACTCTTTATGAAAATAACAGATTGATATATTTGTGAAGCGAAGCAATGCGAGCAAGCGGTAACAGTAAAACAGTAAAGAAATGGTACGTTTCTCCGCCAACGACGATAAGTCAATAGTGAACATTTTCCTTTACAACTGATATCATACTCTGGTTTGCTAATTGTTACCTAACATTTAATCATTCGAAGATTTCCTAACCAACAAAGCTAAACAGATCTTATCATATTACGCGTTCCGGAAACTAAGCCAGTTTCAATCATTGGAAACAAAATATTATCTACGCTGTATGTGCCAGTTTTCTCGCCAACCCACTAAGGTTCTGATTCCTAACGAAAAGTTCTGCCTTTTCCGTAGCTTCTTCCATAGATTAAATCATTTCCCAAGTTACGACGCATTTGCCGAATAATAACCAATCAGGCAAAATCCACACACAATATTCCTAAAAAAGCTTTGGTAACCTGCGTCCAGCCTGTACGGTATTGATATTTAGCTGTATTCGTTACGTTGTTAATTCATAATATAAATTTCTTAAACCCCGTTTAATTTACCCCACCCAGCCGCCAGGATAATCTCAGGGAACTTACATGGTGGGATCGGGCGTGTGTCACTCGGCCGGAGTCCCCCAGGGATCTGTCTGTCAGCCTCCGGCGGCGAGCGTTCCTCTGCCGCTCTGATGCGTCATTACCAACTCTTCTCTGATTGGTCCGCTCCCAGGGTACCGTCTGGGATGCAATTTACGTCTTGAAATTTTACTGGTTTCTTGTAGTTCTCTTGTATATTAGCTACGACTTGACATCCAGTGTTTATGTAACCTTTTACTTGAGTGTTTTCAACGTCCCCTTCCATTGCTCATGGATTTTGCGACTTCGGTCCTGTGCTGTCCCCTGGTGACCATTTGGGGCTCTTCGGGGAGGGGTTGGTGACGTACCCTCGCGGCTACGCCCCTGGGTCGTTGGAGACAGTCACTCGGCTCGGATAAAGCTGCTGAATCTGCGGCGACGGCGGCCGGCCGTTGCTGACTCAGTTGTGGATGAGTCGCAGTGAGGGCAGGCATGTGGCGATGACAGCGGACTGTGGTCATTGCGCCACAGCAGCTCATTCGGGGCTGTGATGTGCCTCTGTCGCTCATCCTGCGGGGTCGTTGAAGACGGTAGTCCGTTCTAGACGAGAATTTGCTGACGCTACGGCGGCGGCGGCCGGCCGGCTCTCTGTCCCGACGGCGCTGACACTGGTGGGGATGAGGGGCGGGGATTGAAGGCATGTGACCAGTGCGTCACGGTATGATGACTGCTGCTGCTGAGTATGGGGAGGGGAGTATGGCGGGCGGCTGGGTCCCGATCTGAAAACGTTAAGACGTCCCAAGATGTAGCCTTGCTACAGCTCCATGGGTCCGAAAGACGAGACATGACTTTCCAACTCAGAGAAGTGTCCAAGCCAGTTTAGATCAGTGGTGATTAGCTGTTGCGCTCGCAATGATGTGTCTCTGACGTTTGTTTTGACTCCGCGTATAATCTCATCTGGCCGGTGCTGGTCAGCCTACCTGGGCGACTGGTGCAGCTCTGACCACGACTGTTACCTCTTGACCTCGGGAGAGGTCACCTGCTGGGAGAACACGTGCTCCTGTCCCCCGGGAGAGTTCGCGCAGAACACCACCATTTGTGGTGAGTGCATGGCTACAATACAAGTAGATAATCGCTAGAAAGATGATCAGGTTATTAGACTTGAGCATGAGTTCCTTCAAGAAAACAGCTCATTTCCAGTTTTGGATTTGTTTTTGTGGCAGAACGTTGAAATAACCAATACATCTCCATTGTCGGACACTGAGTCACATATTGTCACACGTTCAGGCTCCGGCCGGCCGGTGACCGGCCCCGGACAGTTCACCACGACTGAACCCACGGAGACCAGCAGCAGTCACGGAGAGCACCAGTCACCACCAGCAGTCACCACGGAGACCACCAGCAGGCAGTTCACCACTGGGCCCACGGCCTCCAGCACAGGTCCACCTACTGAGACCAGCAGCCAGGCGAACACCACCGTTCAAAGCACCACAGTGACCGTTGCCACCACAGAAACCACCACAAGTGTCGGTGAGTTTAAATAGCGCATAGGTAGACTCTAAACTCGTGCTGATTGGTTAAAGGGACCCTCCCACCTTCAAAAAGTTAATGAATTGGCACGAAAGTGATGTCGCTCGGTTCAGAAAGAGCGAAAACGAATATCTACCAAATTTCATCGAAAAATATTCACCGGTTTTCAAGATATTAGACTTTTACTTTTGTTTACTTTTTGGGATCTCCGCTGTTCCTAGCGACTTTATTTGAAAGTGCGGCATTTGTTGCGCGCAAAGCAGCATATACCACCGCGTGCTACCAAACGTTTTAGTAAAAGATTTAAAAATCGTTAGATCTCCGCTGACGTCACAAATTCTAAGGGGGCATACCAATGCACTAGCCCCTTAGAATCCGAAAACTGCAAGTTTGAAATTCCATATCTCCGAATTAAAGCATTTGTCGATGTTGTGAGTGCCCAAACCGGTATTTGCAGGCCATGGCCACCAAATTGGCTATCTCAAATCAAAACTAATGTTAAGGTGGGAGTGTCCCTTTAAAGGAAGACTTGAGAACCCATAGTAGGTGCACGGAATATATAGTCTACGACAATATATGTCGTAGACTATATGTCGTAATATATGTCGTAGACTATATGTCGTAGGTACCTAATATATGTCGTAGACTATATATTCCGTGGTAGGTGCATACGTAGGTTTATGCAGTCCTCCCTTTTTCTCTCTTCTCCTGCAAGGCTGCTATAGTTATTAGCCGTTTTCACGACGGCCATCTGTACACATTTGGTGCACATCTGGTGCAGATTTGGTGCAGATTTGGTCAAATTAGGTTCAGTGAGTCTCTTAACCCGCGCCCTGCTGGGGGGGGGGGGTGTTTGAACACCCCCCTTGTGGTTTTTCGCGAATATCCCAAAAACGGTGGCGCGGAGCGCCGCCGTTTTTGGTACACCTTATTATACATCAATTCTACACATGTTGTGAAAATTTCAGGCCAAGGTCATTCCAGGTCAGGTCACCAGGTCACTTGAAGTGACCTCACCTCATAAAAAGTTTCAATGTCTGTCATAGCTACACCGAATGACCGATCGCTTTGAAACTTTCAGCGATTGCTAAGAGCAATAGCATGTACAAAATGTTCATCTCAGAATTTGGATATCGATGACCTAAGGTCAGGTCAATTTTGCGACCTCCCCATTATAAGTCAATGGGAGAAAATTGAAATTCGCCTCTTTTGGACGAAACACATTATAAACACTCCCAAACACTGCATTACAAGTGGCTTATACACACGGAACATGAAAATGATGTCCGTGACCCCTGTTTATGCCCTGAGGTCATCTTAGGTCACGAATGGTATCTAACAGTTTTTCGCAAATAACTTTTGATAGAGGCATGCTAGAGCGATGAAAACGCCTTAGATGTGTTCAGCTCGACGATACGGATCGACTGATATGCAACATGACCCTTTCCGGTCAGGTCATGACCTTGACCTGAGGTCAAATTTTCAAGCTGACCTTTCAAGGTCAAGTTATAGTTCATTCGATGCGTCTTGACGAGAGGAACACGATGCCGGTAAAAGTAAGCTCGTACAATGCTTGGGTCAAAAAGCATTGCAGAAAAACTGTTTCCGAAAAAAATCGGCTATTTTTGCAGTTTTTGCCCCCTGCAGGCAAAACCATTGACGTTAGGTCAAATCTGAGAGAATTATTCAGAAAGGGCGTTAATAGGGCTATCGAATGCGCTTTTCTGCGTTGCTGTAGCTCTATTGGTTCCCGAGTTATGCGTTGTCTTCTTGGAAATTTTCGACATTCGACCTGGAAATCGGCGAAATTTTGCCTTCAATGACCTCTGGTGACCTGACCTTTGACCTGACCAAAAAATTGACCGAAGTGATTTCGTCATTATTTTTTACGCTCTTTCGAACGCCGCCTTCCGTGTATCGCTACGTAGTCCAGGAGCCGAGTTAGAAGGGGGGGGTGTTCAAACACCCCCCTCCCCCCAGCAGGGCGTGGAAATCCAGGACCCCCAGCCGGGCGCGGGTTAATAGCTATCAGCTAGGGTTGCACTAATTGCTTATATGCCAGCTTTAATTGTCACATTATCAGAGAACATCATCGATTAAAACACTGAAATAAATTCATAAAATAAAGATATTTGCTGTAAAAGAGATTAGGTGCAGATTTGGTCAAATTAGGTGCACTCGCCGGATACCCCGTCGTGAAAACGGCTATTATGTACTATAGGCGATGATTTCTGATGGCTAAATACAAACAATTTTGCAAGATATCGAAGCTTTAAGTTCTAAGCATACAAGTTGCAACTAGGTATGTCAGGTTACGCCTGCTACATTAATAGGGTGAATAGGTCAAAAACGCCCCCCTTAAGCGCGAAACCTTCTGACACTCAACCCAACACAGATTACTTAAACCTTTGGGCACCATCATGTAGCTCATTCTTTTTACTACGCTTTGAGACCAAGAAAAGACACCTGCGTGTGGTATTTAACCCCCCAAAAAGGTTTTCGCATACCCTTACAAAAGGGCGTTTTGCCCCATACCCTGGGTAATACGCCCACACCCATGTGCAAAGCGCCCCCACCCCATCCATCAACGGAAAATGATGAACATGGCAGAACTTGACGTCATTCTGACGTCATTTGTGGTCAACCTATCATAGCCTTTGGAATAAAATTGTGTTGCAATGTGTAAAATGGATGCCCGGAGGAGTCCTGAAAGTTTGGTGACGATATCTGCAGTCGTTTAGGATATATCAGCAAAAAAGGACAGGGAGATGCCTTTTCGGCCCCGACCTACAGGGCGCTACCCTGCACTCTCACCACCGTGCAAAACGCCCCCCTTTCAGAAAACTGGGGGCGTCTTACCCCATGCATCGAGTAGGCGTCCTTCCCCATCCACTCCATTTCCGGTCAACAAAATATTGACAAAAAACGCGCCACTAACGCCGCAGCATAATACATTCAACAGAATGACAATAAAACGCAGTTTTGAGTGATGTGCACAATAGCAAGTTTTGTGATATAAAGAGGGCATCAAAATATTAGGAATCTTCTGTAAAAACAACAAAAACAACACCCAAAACCAACATCAGCACCTACCCACGCTGCTCCTCAAGACGCAGAACCGGAAATAGAGACCTACGTAAACAAGCAGCTGACTGTTCTGAAAGACAGGATAAAACACCTATCCGTCGATAAGAAATACGATTTTTTTTAGGGGAGGCGTTTACCCAGGGGTGCGTTTTCCCCACAGTTACCCTACCATGTATAAACGAATAGAATACCGTTCCAAGCTTATACGTACTTTGTACGCATATGATAGCCGTTTCCTCGACGGGTTTCCTCGAATGGCTTATTTGTGTTTTAATTGAAGCGCTATCTGATATCTACACTACAGTATACAATCACTACGTTTCCATGACACGTCCAAGGACACGTCTAAATCGATTTAGCGAAATTTCACGTGCGTTTTTCCCGGAAACTATTAACCTTATGCAAAAAATGAGCGTATATGTGGTTTTAGCTAGCACCTAATCTTATGTTTACATTTTTAAATTATGCCTAGATCCTATAATGGAGCAAATCCATTTTTCAAAATCGGCTTAGCTTGTGCCATGGAAACGTAGCCACTAGCCATTAACTAGTACAGCGCTAGTTAATATCTACCAAGAAACACAATGCACCTTATTTGGCCAAATATACACCAAAACTGCACCAAATGTGAGCCAACTGTGTGCCAGATAGCCGTCGTGAAATCGGCTCATATTTACTGATACTAACGGATTGGTACTAACATTACAGCAACAAACACCATCTTCAATCTAATGCATCAGTCAGACGCTTTGAGCGCAGACGGCAGGCGCTACCTCGACTGTACGGATAAAAATAGTCACAACAAGGTCCTGGTGGGGATTGCTGACTTTCATAACGCTTTGGTGAGTCGACCCATGCATGATGCATGTCGCATGACACCAAAATTGTTACCACCAGTACAGGACTGGAGAAACCGTGGAGGACCGGGGGGACCGTCCCCCCCGGGCCCCATGAATTCCATTTCCTGAGGGGGACCTGGGGGACCTAATGTACGGGAGAGCGGGGTAATCACGGACGGTGGGTAATGCCGGCCACACATCTTTAGCGAGTACTTTGACTACCGCTCATCAGCTGATGCTGTTTGTTTTCACTTCAGTAAGCGCAAAAAAAAAACACGAGGAAAGATATTCGCTTTACTAGCTCCATTATTTTGGTCTTAACACCGATAAATGCGTTTTAGGTACTACTCTAATTCATAAGTTGTTTGCATCTACGCTGAATATGGTTACGCGAGAAGTCACGAAGTGCTGCTTCATTACGGAGCGAGCGAAGCGAGCGGAGTCTTTCCTTAGATTAACGGAAATTTCTGAGTCTGAGCGGCCGGCCGGCCCCGGCCGTGCGGACGCTTTTGCGAGGCTTATCCCGCGCCCCGTAGGGCTACCGGCGGACCCTACCACCCGTAGGGGGGGGGGGGCCGTTTCGCCCCCCCCCCCCCCTAAGATCTCGGAAAGTTACCGGCCGATTTTCAAAATTCAAACGGCGTTCGATAGCCCCACCCGGGAACTACCTTGTGACCAAATTTCATTGACCTAGGTCAAACCGATGACGTCACAGGTCAGGTCAAAGGTCAGATTTTCACCGTTCACAGGCAATTCAAGAAATGTGCTGTGAAAGCGAGTAAATTGGTAATTTATTGAAAACCATCGATGGCACATTGTTCGTCAAACACATACTTTGCTATCTGAGGTCACTGATACCAGGGCCCAATCTTACCAAATGCCGTGAATGCGCATTCACAGCATTTGGTAACATTCAGAACTATTCCGCATTCACTTATTCATTCGTTCAGGCAACATTCATAATCATTCACGCTATCAAAATCATTGGACAAGATTAGCTGGATGTAAATAAAAGGATATCTTCGATATCAGAGCCGTAAACTCCGGCCAGTGCTGCCAAATCCTATTCACGGC